AGGGTTGATATTGACATTAGTTTAAGCACCATAAAGAGAGTATATGAAAATTTATAAAAAACGTATAAATCAATACAAGATGCGAGTAATGGAAAACTTTTACGATATGAATCAATTGAAAAATCGTTATATAAAGCTGATACAAATTGAAATCGTATCTATTCCAGAACCAAGAATACCACTATCGGATTTTCCTGTTGATGTTCGATATGTTTATTTTGATTTAGAACCGCTGGATAAAGTATTACAATTTGTTTTGATCACATTTCGTAGAGGAAATTATTAGCTATAGCTCAATTTGCATGAATTGTCTTGGGTAGTACAACAAGGGTTCACTATTATTTAGGTCACTTTTACCTACATTAACAGCCTGAGCGATTTGGTTACTTTATTGGTTGTTGATTGTCTAACGTCCAGTGGCAACTATTTCATGCATGTTCAGGACGAGAACAAATTTGTTCTCGTGTTCAATCATGAATTGTCTTGGGTAGTACAACAGGAATACAATAGGTAGGTCCCATAATGAAGGTCAACTGGGTTGCAGGTCGGGGGTAATTTGAATTGCCACGGGAAAATTTGGGTATATTGGATAGGGACAGAAATTTAGCCTTGCAACAGGCCACCTACGGACACCTTAAAGAGTTGTTGCAAGGGTTCTTAACGTGCAGAGATTGACACTCTCTCTACGCGAGGCATCGGATTTAACGTCTCATTCTGACTGGTCGTGGCTGCGTACTTGATACGTCCCGCACAGCAAAACGGACGCCCCACTTTGGCAACGGTTTTACTGCCGGTCGCATGAAGACCTGTAGTGACCATATTTCTATTCCCAAGTCACCCTTAGGATTACGGTTTAATGTGTAGACTCATTTATATAATAAGAGGGTTATAGCCAAATTGTATGTTCTCGTTGGCTTTCGTCATGGGTTAAATTGTATACGACCACAAAAGTTTGCTGTTGAATAATATTATGATGCTGTCGTTCGCATCGTCTGTGGACACTTCCAATACTGCGTGATAACTTTATTTTTCAAAATGGCAATAATGGCAGTGATTAACTAGCACTTGTATAATTACAATTCCCACATAACACAGATGGCAGATTGATATAGTCAGCGGCAATGTTATGGCATACCCTCAGCATCAGAGGTGACCGACTTAACAGTTCAAAATGGTCGAATGTTTCCAATGGGAAGTTCGTTGCATCACCGGACGTATACAGAATCATGTATGATGACGATAATGATCCAGTAGTTAAACTGATGAGCCGTAGACTGACATGTATATCGTGATTAATCAACTGAAAGATTGATTGTTTGATTGATTGTTGGTTGCATAACGTCCAGTGGCAAATATGTCATGCATGTTCAGGACGAGAAAAAAATTACAATAAATACAATAGGCAGGTCCGGTAATAGAGGTCAAATGGGTTGCAGGTCGAGAAAATTTGGACTGCCGCGGAAAAATGAGGGTATATTGGATAGGGACAAAAATTAAGCCTTGCAACAGGCCACCTACGGACCCCCTCAAAGAGTTGTTGCAAGGGTTCTTAACGTGCAGAGAGCGTGAAACTCTCTCTACACGAGGCATCGGATTTATGTCCCCATTCTGACCGGACGTGGCTGCGTACTTGATACATCCCGCACAGCCAAACGGACGCCCCACTTTGGCAAAGGTTTTACTGCCGGTCGGAAGAAGACCTGTAGTGACCATATTTCTATCCCCCAGTCACCCTTGGGGACTTCAAGTGAAAGACTAAATAATGGTAGGCAGACAGATAGAGAAACACCGACACCAAAGCGTTAAACTAGCAAGTCAATAACAGGACCACCAAAAACAAAGCGTAAAAGTAGCAAGTCAGAAACTAGAACACCAACACCAAAGAGTAACGGTAGCAAGTCAAAAACGGGAGCACCGCAAAACATTGACTAGTCACCACAATAATTCCACGACAACAATGACACTCTAGACCATTACGTTCTACAAGTGATAAGACATTGATTGATTGATTGATTGATTGTTGGTTGCTTAACGTCCAGTGGCAAATATTTCATGCATATTCAGGACGAGAACAAATTAACAATAAATACAATAGGTAGGTTCTGTAATAGGGGCGTCCGGGATTGAAGTCGGAGAAATTTAGACTGCCACGGGAAATGAGGGTATATTGGATAGGGACAGAAATTTAGCCTTGCAACAGGTCACCTACGGACCCCTCAAAGAGTTGTTGCAAGGGTTCTTAACGTGCAAAGAGCGTGGCACTCTCTTTACACGAGGCATCGGATTTAACGTCCCCATTCTGACCGGACGTGGCTGCAAATTTGTACATCCCGCACAGCCAAACGGACGCCCCACTTTAGCAAGGGTTTTACTGCCGGTCGGAGGAAGACCAATGGTGACCATACTTCTATTCCCCAGTCACCCTTGGGGGTAATAAGACATTGACTAGTCACTACAATAATGACACTCTAGACCATTATGTTATTAGTGATATATATTGCACAATTCTTTACAGGTTGGTACTGGGTTTTTCGAACACTTATGATATGCATCATTTTCGTGTATGTATGCACATTTATTTGTTACACGTTACTGTTACGTCTCTCCTGTCCTGTTTATTTTAATACTGGTTGGGGTAAACCCCTCTTTAATACGGGTAACCCTGATTCTGTAACAACCTTTAATTTAAAAATAATGCCTTAAAAGCACATCTACTGTTATTCACTTAAATCTGTTGCAAGTTTTAATTTCTGTCCCTATCCAATCAACCCTCATTTTCCCGTGACAGTCCAAATTTTCCCGACCTGCAACCCAGTTGACCTATTTTACCTATTGTATATTGTTAATTTGTTCTCGTCCTCAACATGCATGCAATATTTGCCACTGGACGATAAGCAACCAACCAACAATCAATCCATCATAAAAATATATGGAGCAACAATATTTAATTGACCAAAGACCAACCCAATTTGTATACAGATAATCTTGACATTTTTCTATTCATGCGAGATCAATTTTGATACTGATCTTAAAGTGAAATGCATGATTATGTCTGAGGGATTCTATTTCCTGATTTCCATGTACATTGTATAATAAGTTAATTAATAAACGCATCAAATCCAGTATAATATAACTTTACTCTTGGTTTGTCAAGTATAAATACTAACATATTTTAAGTTTCTGCACAATGTATGGACTATCTCTATATTTCTTGAGCCCCCAAGGGTGACTGGGGAATAGAAGTATGGTCACCATTGGTCTTCCTCCGACCGGCAGTAAAACCCTTGCAAAATTGGGGCGTCCGTTTGGCTGTGCGGGATGTATGAATTTGCAGCCACGTCCGGTCAGAATGGGGAAGTTTAATCCGATGTTTCGTGTGAAGAAAGTGCCACGCTTTTAGCACGTTAAGAACCCTTGCTACAACTCTTTGAGGGGTCCGTAGGTGACCTGTTGCAAGGCTAAATTTCTGTCCCTATCCACTATACCCTCATTTCCCGTGGCAGTCTAAATTTCTCCAACCTCAATACCGGACGCCTCTATTACAGAACCTACCTATTGTATTTATTGTTAATTTGTTCTCGTCCTAAATGTGCATGAAATATTTGCCACTGGACGTTAAGCAACCAACAATCAATCAATCATATATTTCTTGACGCAATAATTTTATATCTGTAAGTTCTTTACAGTGCGTAACAAAACTCCTCTATTTGAAGTGACAAAGCCATATGGAAATTCCTGACAAGAGTTTGTCAGACAACCTCTTAGAACAACTGGACCGAAAGGCAAACTTCACGACAAATAATATTCATCTGTTGTGATCACTAGCAATTTTGTAACAATTTCTAACAGACACCTAAACCAAAATTGGTCGGACTAGTCGTCTTTTATTGAAACCTGGTAAACAAAAGATGTACCCAGATCATTATTTGTAGATATTTGGTGTGCACCTTAAAGACAACTATCCACCTCAGTCGAAATGAAATGGATGTAGTATGTTTAGGACTTAAGCCCCTCCGTTTTAGAACGTTTGAATATATTGTGTCAAAGATATTACAAACGGTTCTCTATTTGATCGTATTGACAAGTAAGCCGCTTTCTTCGAACCCTGGTATTCCACTGTATGAAAACTAAAATCTTTATGAGGAGAATAATAGCAACCAAGTGTGTAAGGACCCGGTATTACAACAGAATAAATGATCTCTAATTTCCTGATGATACACCAAATTTCACTTTTTTTATTTTGATTTTCTCAATATTATGTCGTCCTGAACATACATGAAATATTTGCCCCTGGACGGTTAATCATCCAACATGCAATCATTGTAGTGGCTTTACTTTAACTTTTGTTTCCTGCATTTATAGATATCTACAATAATTGTAAAATATGTCTTATCTAGACAATTCAACTATTCTATATGAGTCACTCATGAATCGCAAAGTTAAAAATAATTACGAATTAGAAAAATATCTCCTACTGGACCTTAACAAAAATGTTATTTCTAAAATGGTAAAAATAAGAATTAGTAATAGCAAATTACTAATAGAAGTTGGTAGATATACTAGAACACCTTTAGAACAGAGAATTTGTCCACTTTTCAAGGATGGAATTGAAGATGAATTCCATTTCCTCATTAAATATAAAGCGTTAGAATTTAATAGAAATATACTCTTTTGTAATTTAAGTGACATAGTTCCATCTTTTGTTAATATGTCTGAACAAGATAAATTTAGTTTCATTTTGAAAAGTAATGATACTGACATTTGTACTGTATGTGTAACTGGAATAAGCGATATGTGATCATACTTGCCAACCTCTGACAATGAGAAATCATGTCATGACATGACATGACATGTCAAAAAGCGTGTGAAAACGCGTGACGTCGATGCGGACTAGTTAAAATGAACAAATTGTGACTTGGATGGACAGTTGTCTCATTAGCACTCATACCATACCTTCTTTTATCTTTAATACAATGTTTTTAATATAAAAAGAAACAACATTCTACTGTAAACTTTTTTTATATTCAATGGTGGCCTGTTTTGCTGCTTTCAGCACATCACAACTGGGCTGATACTCATAGCAACTGTCAGTTTCATTAAATTTGCATGACAACAGTGCACATAATGTGTCATTGTTCAGCTCAGATCTAAATTCTGTATATATCTTTTTGATTATCGAAAAGGCTCTTTCACAATCAGCATTACTGTTTGGTAAAACAAAAAATGCTTTAGCAAGCTTTGAGAGTGTGTTAAAACGTTTTTTATCATTGAAGATGTCATCAACTTCTGCCATTTCTCCCTAGAATGATGATATGTCCAGGTCAAAGGTGGGAAGATCATCAGGAGATAACAGCTGGTACTCTGTAAACTTGTCTAGAAGTTCTGATGTATTTTCACACCCTATGGCCTGCGGAAACCTGTTAGCCAGCTTTGTAACTGAAAAAGAAAGAAAAAATTTGAATACCATTGAATACTCTATCAAATATCTAGTTGTCCTCTCACACATGTAGTTATGATTGCAAATGATAGATAATGTTTAAGATGCATAATTCTTTGTAAATAATTTACAGAAAAAAATCACCAGAGTCAGATACTATCTTGGTTTTTATCCTAGGGTTTATAAAAGCAATGTCCTGCAAGGTGGTGTCTGAGAAGGGTAACTTATCAGCCATCTTGGATACTAACAGTATGATTCGAACATTCATTTAAAGCAAACATAATGTTGTTAAGAACTGTTGTAGTATTAAAGCTTATTGTAATAGCTTGAAGTGATAATATAGGATGAATAACACCTCCACGCAATGTAGATATAAAATATGTGTTTCTTATCATTGAGAAAACATATCTCTATATTTGTTTTTTGTTTACTTTTGTATTTGTATTTTGTAAATGTCAGCTGGTATCATTCCTGTATTGGAATTTACACCAATAAAATTATTTGATTTGATTTGAATCTATAAAAGAAACGAAACACGCGTCTTGTGTACGAGATATTTCATAGGGTTTTTTTTTTAAGTACTAACACCGACAAAATTATATTACTTCTGTGCGCGGTAGTTGATTTCTTAATGTCCTTGTGGCCGTGGAGCCTTGTTTTAAAACGTAAATTGTGCAACGTCATGGGACTTTCAACCTGGTTAATTTAAAAATATAGTATTTACACTTTTTGAACTTTAAATATTGATGTTACCTTATAAATTTGTCATTAAGAAACTTTTAAATCCCAAACTGTTATATTTCCCTTGAATTTAGCCATGCTTTTTATTAGAGGAGTTCCGAAAATTATTATCTCTCTAGATTTTTCAATTGGGTGCGTTCGGAGATCTTTCTCTGTGCGTTTTCTAAATCGAGGCATAACAAGTTTTTAATAGTAAATTTCATTGGTTTAACTTATGTGTTGATATTTCTTATTGGGTTTATAAATTTAGATATAGTTTCTATAATTAGAACTTAATTAGTATATAAGGCCCACATATTCTTAATATCATTGCTTTTTATGCAAGAGCCACTTGTCTGTAACAGACTCTTAAGGTAGGTGCCTATTAAATTAGGACTGTTTTCTACTAGCCAGCGTTAGTCTTCGACTATTAGCAACTTGGCTGATGCGTTAGTTACGACTTACAATTTTGGCTTGTTGTAAGACAAAACTTTGGCAAAACTTTTCAAACTGTTAAGCTTCCACGTCTGGTTTTTCCTTTCCCAAATTTAATTAAGTAGCCTGTTTATTTTATAAAACAAGTTTAGGTAACTAGTGTTAAGTAAGTAGGAAATTAAGGTTTTTCAATATTATTTTGGAAAAGGGGAGATAACTTTGCCCAATTTTCATTACACTGTGCTTTATAGGTGAAGTGTTGATTTGATGTATATTTATATTAAATTCTGACATGTAGATTTGTCGTTATAACATCATTAAACTATGTGAACTTGATTGTCTTTATTTAAATGAGCTACCAAGAGGAGTCAAAGACTCAGGATCGAACTACAACAGAACCTAGAGCTTAGATATACCCTGTTTTAGAGGTTTAGTCATTAACATGACACCGTTCATATTATTTTGGTTGTTTTAGTCATTGTCAATAATTCTGGTTGTTCCTTTTTGGTTTTTGGTGGTTTGAATCTTCCAATATATTATTTAGGTTGATCTCCTTGAACAATCATACCGTACTTAAACAAGACATCAACATTTACAAATAAACAATTCAGAAATTACATGAAAAACAAGACAGGATAACTAGCTCCGGTTACATTTTGGTGGCAGCGGTGGGATAAAGTATGTACTTTTCATATCTGAATTAGTTTGAGGATTAGAATAAAAATAAGAATATTTGATATGTTTTTATAAGGGTGTAATTTATGCATAGCAGATTTTAATTTATGTTGTTATACAAGCATTAGTGAAGGATAGAGCAATGTATTGACATATATGTTGAGACTAGTTATATCATAAAATATATGTAATGTATTTTTATATGTTCGCTTCGTAGACCTATTTAAAAGGCTGTTTTTATTTATTAACTAACAGAGGAGTTCATATTGTTTTCACATAATAGTCACATTTTTCCAGTTACTCATTGAAAGAGTTTATCAAACGTTGATAGGAAATTGTGCGTATGGATTTTTAAAGTTTCACATATTATACCTAAGAAAAAGGCTGTCACACATTTGTTTTATTCATTTACTATTTACATAATGTATTTTTGTTGACAATGTAGCATTATTACTCTTATGTGTGTACATGAGTACCTTATATATTAACTGTTCATTTATCTTAACAAATTATTTTTAATATGTATTATATTACAGTATGGCAGAAGAAAGACCTGTGTTTAAAAAGGGATATAATTGTCCAGTAGCAACATGTGGACGGGGTCCATTTAATGGATTCCGTCAGTACCAGAGACACTGGCATAGCAAACATGTTCGCGATATAAAAGAATTTAGTTGTGTTGGTTGTAATGAATCATTTCCACGCAGGCACCATGTCAAGGAGCATTTAATGAACTTTCATCATTTTTCATCACGTCATGCCATCCTCATCCTGCCATCCCTACAGTCTAAAATCACCGTAAATTTTAACTATGTAAACCCAGGGAAATGTTTACCGCCGCTATGGGAGGACAGTAGGAACATAGAGGTAGCTATGGTTCAAGAAGAGGAGGAGGCGTATGTAGACGCGCAGGAATACGTACAACCACAAGAATACGTACAACACGGTGAGGGCGTCCCGAGAGATATGGAATATTAGTTGGTGGAGGAAAATGGGGAAATGGTAATGAAACTAGTACCAAAGAAAGACTTTTTATTTTGAACATTTAAATTAATTCATTTTGTAAAATTTATATTCATGTATTGTGTATTTCATCTTTTAATTTATATTGGCTTGTATAGACCATTTATTGGTATTTGCAATGGTCTAGATGGGGGGTTGTGGTCGTGGAGCCTTGTTTTAAAACGTAAATTGTGCAATGTCATGGGACTTTCAACCTGGTTAATTTAAAAATATAGTATTTACACTTGGGAAACGTTCTTTGAACTTTAAATATTGATGATACCTTATAAATTTGTCATTAAGTAACTTTTAAATCCCAAACTGTTATATTTTCCTTGAATTTAGCCATGCTTTTTATTAGAGTTCCGAAAATTATTATCTCTCTAGATTTTTCAATTGGGTGCGTTCGGAGATCTTTCTCTGTGCGTTTTTCTAAATCGAGGCATAACAAGTTTTTGATAGTAAATTTCATTGGTTTAACATATGTGTTGATATTTCTTATTTGGTTTATAAATTTAGATATAGTTTCTATAATTAGAACTTAATTAGTATATAAGGCCCACATATTCTTAATATCATTGCTTTTTATGCAAGAGCCACTTGTCTGTAACAGACTCTTAAGGTAGGTGCCTATTAAATTAGGACTGTTTTCTACTAGCCAGCGTTAGTCTTCGACTATTAGCAACTTGGCTGATGCGTTAGTTACGACTTACAATGTTGGCTTGTTGTAAGACAAAACTTTTCAAACTGTTAAGCTTCCACGTCTGGTTTTTCCCTTCCCAAATTTAATTAAGTAGCCTTTTTATTTTATAAAACAAGTTAAGGTAACTAGTGTTAAGTAAGTAGGAAATTAAGGTTTTTCAATATTATTTTAGAAAAGGGGAGATAACTTTGCCCAATTTTCATTACACTGTGCTTTATAGGTGAAGTGTTGATTTGATGTATATTTATATTAAATTCTGACATGTAGATTTGTCGTTATAACATCATTAAACTATGTGAACTTGATTGTCTTTATTTAAATAAGCTACCAAGAGGATTCAAAGACTCAGGATCGAACTACAACAGAACCGAGAGCTTAGATATACCCTGTTTTAGAGGTTTAGTCATTAACATGACACCGTTCATATTATTTTGGTTGTTTTAGTCATTGTCAATAATGCTGGTTGTTCCTTTTTGGTTTTTGGTGGTTTGAATCTTCCAATATATTATTTAGATTGATCTCCTTGAACAATCATACCGTACTAAAACAAGACATCAACATTTACAAATAAACAATTCAGAAATTACATGAAAAACAAGACAGGATAACTAGCTCCGGTTACAATATAATATAAATCTGTACAGTATACGAAAAGACGTAAATTAACCATGAGGTAACATGTAGGGATTGTTTTTCGCTGTGCAGTTATCTGGTGAGAACCTGATAGATATATATGAAGGTGGAATAATTCGTGCGAGATTCATTCGTAACAGCGTTTTCATAAACAGAGAAGATATCTCACAAATTATAATCACGACTCCGAAGTAATAATAATAATAATAGTTCTTTGTCATATAAGTAAAATGATACTTGTGATACTCAGTACTAACAACGACAAACTTATTTTCCGTTTACCTGTGCCACGCATATTTTATTCTCAAATTGACTAGATTTAATTGACAAGAAGTATACTGTCGTGCGAGTTCTTAATTCAATTTGAAAGAAAGTTATCTGACCTTCGTCGTTATAGCATTTAATATAGAAAGCGTTTTTTTTTTTTTAACAGTAAACACTGCTTCTAAGTATATCATTATGGAGAAGGTCTCGCACGGTCGTTATCTACAAAGTATTTATATCAAGTACCAATAACGACAAATCTATCTTCCATCTACCTGTTTGTCGAAGCTAGTAATTATGTATTGACTGCAATACTTATTACTTTGTGAGAGCTTCATTGGAAGAGAAAGGTGGTACACCATCGTAATAGTAATTTTTATATAAAGTGCAGATACAATTTTAAATGATATCTTTACTTTCTAATACTTTTAGTTTATAACTTTACTTCTTAGTAACATTATGTACTATTAACGACAAACCTATTTTCTGTCCACCCTTGTGACGTAGATATATCTAGCTTTAATGACCGGTCTCATGATACACGACACCGTTCTAGATTATCACTGGAAGAAAAGTCCTTTAAACTCTCTTGCATGTTATATGTATAGTGCAGGATCTATTAAATCCAACTTTGCCAATAATTTTGTTGAAAGATAAAGGAAGGCAGCGAGCCTTTATTTTTCGAAGACACATTCTCTCCCCAAAAACTCGTTCTGCTAAGTATTCTTTATCAAATAAAACGGTTATGTTGTCCTTGTCAAGAAAGGATCGTTTTGTTGTAAGTAAGTACATTTTATTTAGAGTCGGCATATATATATATATATACATAATAACAGACAAAACATGAGCTCTGGTGAGCTCTTAAACCGACTATCACATACTAAAACATGCAGCATCATGCAAATACTAATAAATAAAAATGAAAAAGCATGCAAATAGAATGA